TTCATTCCCCCCTTGTGTTTCTTCCATTGCCGCCTCGAGCCCCCTTCTTCCCTTGTGTTTCATCCATTGCCCCCTCGAGTCCCCTGCATTCCCCCCCTTGTGTTTCATCCATTGACCCCTCGAGCCCCCTTCATTCCCCCCTTGTGTTTCATTCATTATTGCCCCTTGAGCCCCTTCCTTGTGTTTCATCCATTGCCCCCTCGAGCCCCCTTCATTCCCCCCTTGTGTTTCATCCGTTTTCGAAGCTGATCGGGCGTCCTAACGACTGTTTGTTGGAAAAGTGTTGTACCTGGAAGGTTTCTTTCCGCTTGTTCTAGATCTATTTGTCATACTGTCACTGTGGACAGTAGAGTCAGCGACACTCTGGTCGACACGCCTCAAAAAGAGGCGCAACAGTGAGAAACCCAACATCGAATTCATCATCACAGCAAGTCAGTAGACAGCTTTTGGCCTTTGCCATTCAACATAATCTCAGCAAATTTCTGAAGGTGAACATCGATGACAGGACCGGCCTTCCGAGTCGATCCCTTCGGTAACGCCCGACCGCAACGATGCGGCCATGTAGCGTCATGAACGCCCGGAATCATGCTTTGCGAATCCAATCCTAGCACAAGGGTACATGCTTTCCTCATTTGTTTGAGGAGATCCACAAAGGAGTGCTTGGTAGGCTAAATGTTTTGCAAAGCAAACTTCTGCCGATGAAACAGCATGGCCAACTCCACATACCCCACAGAGGAATCTTCCTTCGTTTGCCAGTGAAGTGCGTTGAAAAAATGAACAAATTGCAGCCCATCTTGCTCACCAAAGTGATTGCACAAGACACTAGATGCTACCTCATCATGTCGCGGCTTCCATGGAAAGTCTTGTTCTTGTTGGAAGAATCACCAGACAAGTTTTTTACTTTTTTTAAACCAGGTGCCAGGTATGCCACCCACTGCCACCGAGTGTCATGAGTGGCCATATTCCATTCTGTTTGAGCTACTTTCTTAACTATGTTTTTCGGATGACTCGCTTGTTTCTTCCGGTGAAAATCACACCATATCACACCCATCTCTGTGCAAAAAACAACCTTCTGACCAACCCACAACAATGCTTTCATTCAGGCTGTGCGTTTTCATGTGGTTTGTTTGTTTTCGTGTGTTTTCTCACGTGTTTTCCCTCTGCGAGGAGTGGGCGGAAGTGGACTTCGGCTTCGATTCCCACCGCGGAACAGAGGTCATGTTGATGAAGTGCCACAGCAGAACCGATTGGACGATGTGATGTACGGTGCACCCCCTACGCTACGCGGGTGGTTCATCGGTATCACCCGACCGGTTCCAGAATGGGCATTTGAATCGGGAGACCTCCCACAGAATCTCCAGAACAAGGAAGAATAGCCACTCACCACCGGTTGGGGGTCTCCCACATCAAGAAAACACCGTCAAGACACTCGGGCAATCAGAGAAGTATATATACTTCCAACTCCGCAACCATTTTGGGGTGTGACAAAACCAGAGGAGCTATGAGAAAACTCCGCAACCCGCCCCCAAGGACTGCACTGGTGGGCAAAATATTGCAAAATCCATCCTGTTTGGAACTCTTGCTCCTATAGTAGTAAGGCCAGGAGCCCTAGTAGTGTCCTTGCTCCTAGTGGCGATGCCAGGAGCCCCTAGTAGCGTCCTTGCTCCTAGTAGTAAGGCCAGGTGGTTTCATGTCGATTCTGATCATTCTTGGTTCTGCAGCTGGAACTACGGGGTTGGCTCGCAGGCGCAAGCACAAGTGGCACATAGTGGCCAACTCGAGCACTGTTTTCACTGTTTAGCATAGCCAAATGTTTTGGATACTTTGCGGTTCGACACATGCTTAAAGGATTTGTGAGGTATCCCACTCATTCCAAAATCCAATCAACCTTGATGTCCCAGCCTTCAATCGTCTGTAGCTTCTCACGTTCTTGGCCTTCCAGCGGTTTTGCCTGGCTACGCACGGGGTTGGTAAGAGGCCGGCCGATGAAGGCAGTTGCGAATGTGAGGATGGCCGATGACAAGTTCGAGATGCTTGAGGAGCACCAGGTCGCCGTTCAGAACATGCACGGGACCCCGGTCAAGCTCGGTCGAGACTCGCCGGTTGCGAGGTTGGTCGGTGGAGACCGTCGTAGACCTATGGGTCGATGAGACCTAGCAGGGTCGTTATCTTGAAAGGAGAGCTCTGAGGGCTCTGGTTGAAGGGTTGCAGGGTTGAGCTGCTGTGGGGGGGGGTCGGCAAATCCTGGTTGACCATTTTCAATGGAGTTCTTCGGGTACGTAGTTGGTAGGTTGGGAGATGTCGGGAACGATGTGGGTTGATTCTTGAGACAACTCCGGTTCTGCGGGTGATGTTAATTTGGATTATACTGTATGATACTTCACAAGAATGTGGATGCCATCATCACTTTGGGGTCGTGCACGAAGCCATGTGTTGGAAGGAGCAGCCACATGGATTCTAGGTAGAAACTCTAACTTCAAGTCTGCAGTGGAGCAAAATAGTCAGCATCAAGCATTTGTATAATATAGTGTTAATTATGTCCGGTTTTGTCCCATCTACTCCCTTATACTTGCATGCAATACATTCTAAGTTTAACACAGGAGTAACGTTTCACACGCCGGTATTTTTGGGGGATCTCTACATGAACATCCCCCTGGCTTCATGCTGGTGCAAGCTTGTGTTCATTCTCTCCCAGGTTCTCCTCTCGCTTCTTAGCCACCTTCGAAGAGCAGGCTGGATGAAGTGTGAGACAAATCCTGATGATCATGGCGCAGTTTGCAAGATTTTGCCTCATTTGGTCTTCACAAAGAAATGCAACCACACCAAGTCCCGAATCATTGTCCATACCGTTCGTCTTACAAACTAGATGCCGCTTGAGTACCTGCTTGCCATTGATCATCTAGACACGATCTGCCGGTTTAAAGCTTTCACAAGGTCACCTCATGGCAGAAGACCCTCGCGAGCCTTGGCGGCACCAAGGTTCCGGCCACCTAGGCTCTCATGTTTGGTGGTCTTCACTTGGTTTCGCTTTTGTGCAGCCAAACAAGGGCTGACATGCAAAAGTTGATTATCCTGAGCATGTGCTTCCTTTATTATACGTAATATTATGGTATTAATGTGGATATATATATATATATCTATTGAATTGATTTGCTTGCCAAAGAATTATGGTGAATTATGTAATTAAATTTGGATATATAGACTTTGTGAGGTGGTTGCTAATAGTGATTCTGAAGTCTTGTGCAGACCCTGTGATTTGGAAGAGATATCATTGCAACCGGCGGTTCACTTACTGGACACACTAGCAGGCTGGCGAAGCTGACGCAGCTAGTTATTCAACCATTGGTACAAACCATTGGTACCACAGGACATGGGAGTTTGGATCAACAAGAATCATAGGATTGATTGGAAGATCCCCCAAGTAGACTCGATTTTGCTTCAATGCCAAGACGCGTGGTCCACTTTCTGGGGCAAACCTTCAAGATGCTTCAAGCGACCTTCATTCCCCCCCCCCCAAAAAACCCCCCCCCCCCGGAACCCCTATGGTGTTGTTTCTGTTCCACCTATCCCAACAGCCCCAGGAACATCTCAGAGGTCTCGACCCTGTTGTCAGAGGTGCAGCGCTCCTGGGTGGGGCGCCCCAGACGGGGAGGAAAACGCCGAGGTCGACTCGTCTTCGAGGTCGACTCGAAGAGTTGATTGTGCAGCATTCCCATGGGTTCAGCACACCAAGAGAGGTTATTATAAGTAACCTTATAATGACCATACTGGGGGCACCTATGGGATAATCTATAATTATAGGGGGAGCCCTCAACCTCTCATTGGAAGGAGATGCAAGGAGTGTGGCTCATGCGAATCATGTGGCTCATGGGAGTTTCAGGAGTAATTCTGGAGGACGTCACCCAGTTTAGTAACCGCACAGGAGCGGGATCTGGTCTTAAGCAAAGAACCTTGAAGCGCTGGGAGACCTTCCATTGAGTAGGCGGTTCTGCATGGATCTACCTTGGTGGGCCCTTGAACCAGTCAAAAGATAGCCAGCCGCTGCCAGAAAACGTTTGGGCACTGCAGAAAACGTTCACCTGAACACCCCGTTTCGCCACGTCCAGGTCTTCTTGGAGAATCTCTTCATTTTCAGTGATGAGGTGAAGAAAGAGCTGCCTGAGGACGGCACAGTGACTAACATATAACTAACCTGAAAAGTTAAAAATGAGGCATTACGTTTCTGATCTTTTCTGTATGTCTCAATCGAATGGTGCTCTCCATGCAGTTCCACATATCCAAATCAGACCCACACCCAAATCGGATCGAGGAGCACTGCAGGAGCACCCAGCCCTGTGAGCCTTGTGTAGAGTCGTCTAGAGTCAGACTGAACAGGCATGGAGGCCAAGTGAACATGGAAACAAAAACAACAGTCGCTAGCAGTGTTATTGAATGATTTTGAACAGGCATGGTATGAGATGGTAGGAGGGCCTCTGAAAGAGGTTCTGCCATGTCTTGCACTGAATGAGCCATGTGCTTTTGACTTTCTGCCGATGCTTCCGAGTCGCAGACGCAAATTGGACGCAGCGGCAGTCCAGGCGCAGCCCAGCCGAGATGCAGTTTTTCGCCGCTAGGAGAGCGACAAGTTCGTGGGCATTGACATGGACGTGAAGGAAATCCTGATGAACGGATACCAGATCAAGTCTGCCAAGGAGTTCTGCAACCAAGGCCTGCTGGATCCGAGTTTGAGACCCGGATCTGGAAGCGACACATGGGAGGAGTCAAGCAGGTAGGGGGATCATCCCTGCTGTGGTAGGAAAATCATTGATCTGAGGATATCCACTTTCTCCTCACCTCTTAGGTTCAGACAAGTCACTGGGTCACCATTTTCGCCCCAGAACTTTGTTCAGGTCGTAGTTCTATGGAAGCGTTTCAGGCCACCATGGCTGTTCTAAGAATAATTTGTTGCTGCTTGCTGTTGAACTTGCACAAGTTATTTTTATCAGAACCAACTCAGTGAATAGACATGTGTGGGTTCCGGGTGCACTTTGGTATGCCTGTGTTGCCTGTCACTTGGGTTCCGTTCCTCACAAACTCGGATGATTGGTGGTGATGGTTGGTGATGATAACAAGGAAAGTATCGCGAGCAGCGCTTCGACCACAGCTTTCCTCTCCCTTATTCATTAGCAGTTCAATGCAGTTCATCCAGTTAGGGGCCTACCTGGTTCTGATGTGACAAAGCCGTTTCAGTCAAAACCAGTTACAAAATCTGGAAACACACGCAACACCTAGAACCAGTGTCGAGCTAGCTTCGATAATCTTAGATAGCAGTATTTGTATGTATTTGTGAACAGGCTGTTTCACACCATGAGAACAACCGTCCTCGTTGCTTGAATTCAGCAAGCGCCCGTCCTTACTTCGTCAGTCCTTGTCGCCCGTCTTTGGCGGTCGCTTTCATGGACATTTCATGGGTGAGTCAGCGAGTGTCTTTGCAGGTTCTTGCTGTCAGACCACCGTGCGTGCTTTTCCGCGGAAAAGAAACCGCCACAGGGAACATCTTTCAGAAGTTGGAGAAGGTCCAGGGGGCACTAGAGATGTGTCAGAAGGCTTTGAACGACTTCATGGAGACTTGACTGAGGAGACTTTTGGATGGCCGAGTTCCTGTGTCCGACTTTCTCCGGCTCTTGACCAATGGCAGTTTCAGTTGCAGTTCGCCCGCCTTTAGGTGTTTTCTCCTTCTTCCACCCAATCCCGCAGGAATCCAAATGACTGCGACCACTAGATGTGTTTCAAAGGGGAGAGCGTCAACAGTGAAATTGTGGTGCACAGGCAATAGCGAATACAAAACCACAAAGCTGCCATCCATGAGCACATGCAGAACGGGGTGACCTGCATTCAGGGTACTAACTGTAATCGAAACTGTATTCGCGACCTTTTTGAGAGGATTTTAGCCTTTAGAACTTCAAATATTCAATATCGACCGATGCTTGGTTCGGGACCTCATGGATGTCATGTCCATCTAAACACCGGAGGATTTGGAGAGTGCCATGGGATTTGGAGAGTTTCCAAGAAATCGTTGTCCCCCTTACAGGGTGGCCCAGTTGGATGGCCCAGTAGGCCATTTGTCTCGCTGCTGTGCAGGTTCAGTCCTTTGGACTCCTTTGGTCCATGACAAAACATGATAAAAAAAACTAGCTACTGTAAACTGTAATAGCATTTGATAGCCTAAGCGACCCCAGACATGTCTTGATGGCTCAGGACAGCAAGAAGCGGGCTTTCCCTCGTTTCTATTTCATGTCCTCCAATGACTTGCTTGACGTGCTGAGTAATGGCCGCTCGCTGTTTTGATTTTCCAGGTGGGTTTTCGTGGATTCAGGTGAGGCTTAATTGTCGGCAGGTTCTTTCAGAATTGGATTGGGCTTTTTCCCAACAAATCTGGCAACTCGTGGCTGATAGCGTAGCAAGAGAACCGTGGGCACACCACGGCACCGCCGTGGGCACACCACGGCACGTTCATGTTGGGCCTATCCCAATGTGGAATTGGATCATTGCACAATCTGGTTCCAAGGAGATACCAGATCGGTGAGGCATGAGTCTGACGTCCATACTTTGGAACAGGTCAAGATCTCTCGTTCGATGGACCTCGAACTGCCCTTGACCTTCCTTCGTTAGATGGGCATCGACAGAAAAACGGACATCAACCACACACGAACCACGGGTGACCTGACCTTCAAGGTGTGATGCTTTGTGATGAAGCTGTGCATAGCCATGGGGATCTCCTTTCTTCGTGCAAGCCATGTGTATGTTTATTTGCCCATCCATCATGTTCAATGCAACAGGCTCGACTGGTAATTGAAACACCTTCGGGGCAATCCGGCTGATTCTATCTTTCCTTGCTATTGCTAGCTTGGTACGGCTCCAAAGTAGATACCCACCAAGAAGAAAAACAGATCCACTGTTCAAGGGGTCAGTTTTTATCCTTCTCAGGACCTTGGATCAAATCCTAAAGACATTTTCTCTAATTAATGCAACTCCCATATACATATATTTATTTATTTACGCCACCACTTGGGGAATTGATAAGTTGACAAGTTCGAACATCACTGGCAACATTTTGAAAATCATGGATGTTCCTACACTTACTCTTTTTCCCGAAAGCATTGCGAAGGGTTCTTCCGGAAAATCCTTTGAACACTTACACTTCGACACTTGCACTTACACACACACACACACTGGAAGAGCGAAAGCATCCAAGTGCGAAGTATGCCAGTGTCAAAGTATGCAAGTGTAAGTATGCAAGCATGATATGCAAGGGTGAGTATGCAAGCACGCAATGAGTATACAAGCATGCAATGAGTAGGCAAGTGTGAGTATGGAAAACTAGCACGGGAGATGTCCTAATGAAAAAACATTTCCCCACTTTATAAATTCTCTCTTAAAGGCGGAGTGCGGGACGAACAGCGTCAACCGAAAGTGCAACCCTCTGCGGAGATCGTGCGTGTCGAGTGCGCGAAATGCAGGCGAGAGTGCGATTTGTCCGGTGCGCGCGCAACCCTCTGCGGAGATCGTGCGCGTCGAGCGCGCGAAATGCAGGCGAGAGCGCCGCGCGCCGGCTGCGCGCGCAACCCTCTGCGGAGATCGTGCGCGTCGAGTGCGCGAAATGCAGGCGAGAGCGCCGCGCGCCGGGTGCGCGCGCAACCCTCTGCGGAGATCGGGCGTGTCGAATGCGCGAAATGCAGGCGAGAGTGCGATTCGCCGGCTGCGCGCGCAACCCTCTGCGGAGATCGTGCGTGTCGAGTGCGCGAAATGCAGGCGAGAGTGCGATTCGCCGGGTGTGCGCGCAACCCTCTGCGGAGATCGTGCGTGTCGAGTGCGCGAAATGCAGGCGAGAGTGCGATTTGCCGGGTGCCCGCGCAACCCTCTGCGGAGATCGTGCGTGTCGAGTGCGCGAAATGCAGGCGAGAGTGCGATTTGGCGGGTGCCCGCGCAACCCTCTGCGGAGATCGTGCGTGTCGAGCGCGCGAAAGCAATCTGTGGAGCTGGAAGCTGAGAACTGGCGACTTTGTGGTACAACTTTAGTACGCAGAGTAGCTGGGGAGCTGGAAGCTGAGAACTGGCGACTTTCTAGTACA